CACACACACTACACAACTACACACACTACACACTACACACACAACTACACACACACACACACACTACACTACACACACAACTACACACACTACACACAACTACACACACTACACACACACACTACACACACTACACACAACTACACACACTACACACAACTACACACAACTACACACAACTACACACAAACTACACACACACACACAACACACACACACTACACACTACACACAACTACACACACACACTACACACAACTACACACAACACAACTACACACAACTGCACACACACTACACAACAACACACACACTACACACACACAACTACACACAACTACACACACAACTACACACAACTACACACAACTACACACAATACACACAACACACTACACACACACACAACTACACACACACACACAATACACACACAACTACACACAACTACACACAACTAACTACACACAAACTACACACAACTACACACACTACACACAACACACACAACTACACACACACACACTACACACACACACACACACTACACACACACACACTACACACAACTACACACACACACACACACACAACTACACACAACTACACACACAACACACACAACTACACACAACTACACACACAACACACACACACACACACACACTACACACACAACTACACACAACTACACACAACTACACACACAACTACACACACAACTACACACATAACTACACACACAACTACACACAACTACACACAACTACACACAACTGTACACACAACACACACAACTACACACAACTACACACAACTACACACACAACTACACACACAACTACACACATAACTACACGCAACTACACACACAACTACACAACTATACACAACTACACCACTACACACAGAACTATACACAACTACACCACTACACCACAAACACACACAACTACACAAACTACACAACTACACACACTATACACACTACACACAACTACACACACTCAACACACACACACACACACACTACACACACAACTAACTACACACAACTACACACACAACTACACACACACACACACACAACTACACACACAACTACACACAACTACACACAACTATACACACACACAACTACACACAACTACACACACACAACTACACACACACAACACACACAACTACACACAAACACACTACACACACACACACAACTACACACACAACTACACACACTACACACAACTACACACACTACACACACAACTACAACACACACACTACACACACAACTACACACAATACACACACACACACACACACACTACACACACACACAACTACACAAACTACACACAACTACACACAACTACACACAACTACACACACTACACACACACTACACACAACACACACACTACACAACTACACACAACAACTACACACAACTACACACAACTACACACACAACTACACACAACTACACACAACACACACAACACACACAATACACACACATACACTACACACACAACTACACACAACTACACACAACTACACAACTGTACACACAACTGCACACACAACTACACACAACTACACACACAACTACACACAACTACACAACTGTACACACAACTGCACTCACAACTACACACACAATTACACACACAACTACACAACTGTACACACAACTACACAACTATACAACTACACAACTACACAACTACACATACAACTACACAACTACACACACAACTACACAACTACACACAGAACTACACAACTACACAACTGTACACACAACTGCACACACAACTACACAACTACACACACAACTACACAACTACACACACAACTACACACACAACTACACACACAACTATACACACAACTACACAACTACACACACAACTATACACAAAACTACACAACTACACACACAACTACACACACAACTACACAACTATACACACAACTACACAACTATACAACTACACACACAACTACACAACTACACACACAACTACACACTGCAGGAGAACGTGTGAACAGTTCTGTGTTCCGCAGGAGAACGTGTGAACAGAACGTGTGAAGTGTTCTATGTTCTGCAGGAGAGCGTGTGAACAGAACGTGTGAAGTGTTCTATGTTCCGCAGGAGAGCGTGTGAACAGAACGTGTGAAGTGTTCTATGTTCCGCAGGAGAGCGTGTGAACAGAACTTGTGAAGTGTTCTATGTTCCGCAGGAGAACGTGTGAACAGAACGTGTGAAGTGTTCTATGTTCCGCAGGACAACGTGTGAAGTGTTCTATGTTCCGCAGGAGAACGTGTGAAGTGTTCTATGTTCCGCAGGAGAACATGTGAAGTGTTCTATGTTCCGCAGGAGAGTGTGTGAACAGAACGTGTGAAGTGTTCTATGTTCCGCAGGAGAGCGTGTGAAGTGTTCTATGTTCCGCAGGAGAACGTGTGAAGTGTTCTATGTTCCGCAGGAGAACAT